GCCGCTCCTGGTGAGACAGCAGGACACAGAGATCTGTGAGGGGCAGCTCATCCTGTGATCACGCAGTGGCTCAAGCCACACCAGGACATCTAATAGGACATGGTTTTGTGGTTTTGAGGCCTTTTTCCATTTTGAACATTGAACTTGTTTTACAACTGAGTTTGTCATATATTCTGCCTGTTGTAAATTGGGCAATAAATGTTCTTTTATGCACAGCAAGGCATTTGCTGCTATCACACTTGTTTAAGGTTGGCTCACAGTTTCCCTGGCTCCCCTTAGACAGTAGTCATCATTGAGCACAGTTTAATTCAACACTTGCACTCTTAGTCCTTGTTGTATGCTGGGGCCTCTTGGGTGTGCGGGATGTGGGTATGAAAGGATGGGCAAGTGGCGGAGATGAGAGCGTTGTGCTCTTCTTGTGAGGTCTGATGGTGGGTGATCAAGGAAGGCTTCTGGGAAGAAGCTGGGATTTGAAGGGCAACCACGGATTGTGTGAACTGTCCAGAGGCAGATGAATTACCATGTGCCAAGCTGAGATAGGCTTGAATTGGCATGGGTACTTAGGGAGTGGTTGTCAGTGTGGTGTTGATAGGGTGTCAAGTACTTGTGCTTTGGGAGGGGAGGAGCAGGGACCTGGTCCTGGAAGGTCAAGTCTCTGTGCTGTGTTGAAGCACACACAGAACTTGTTTGATGAGTGACATAGCATCACAGTCGAGAAAAGAATCCTGCCCTTTTTCTTTAAGGGGAAAAAAGGATTTATTTTATTTTTATTTGCAAGGTGGAGGTGACAGAATCTTCCATCTACCAGTTCACTCCCCAAGTGGCTGTAATGGCCAGAGCTGAACTGATCTGAAACTGGGAACTAGGCGCTTCTTCCTTGAAGGACTTCAGTAATCCTCTGCTGCCTTCCAGACCATAAGCAGAGAGCTGACTGGAACTGGAACAGCTAGCACTCAAACTCATGCCCACATGGGATGCCAGGGCCACAGGCTGAAGCTTAGCCTGTTGTGCCACAGCTATAGGCCAGACACCCGCCCTGTGAAGATGACTTAATAAGCACCTTGGTGGGTGCTTATTAGCACAGTGCTCTACTTGCTTTCCTCTGGCTGCCCCATCCTCTCTGAGAAGTGTGAGTTCTTGGAGGACAGACTTCAGCACTGCCCCTGTCCGCAGCACCCAGCCTGTTGGTGTGGGCAGCAGGTCATTTGTGACATCATGACATTGTCACTTTGACCCAACGCAACTCATCCTGTGAAGCAGGGGTGCTGTACTGTGCATACTGTCTCCTGCCTTTTTTGTATGTTTGTTCCTTAATGGGAAACCTTGCAGAAAATCCAAAGATTTTTGCCTTTGGACTGGTGTGATGGCTTAACTGGAAAATCCTCAGCATGTAAGTGCTGGCATCCCATACAGGTGCTGGTTTGTGTCCCGGCTGTTCCACTTGCCATCCAGCTCCCTGCTTGTGGCTGGGAAAGCAGTGGAAGATGGCCCACAACCTTGGGACACTGTGTCTGTGTAGGAGACTGGAGGAGACTTGTGGCTATTGGCTCTTGGCTTCAGATCAGCTCAGCTCTGGCTGTTGCGGCCATGTGGTAGTGAACCAGTAGATGGAACGTTTTTCTGTCTCTCCTTTGTGTAAATCTGTGTTGCCAATAAAAATAAAATTTTTTAAAAAGATTTTTGCCCTGTGTTTATATATGAAGAAGAGTGATAGGTTAGTAGTTTGATGCTGAAATAATGAGATATCTCAAAGTATTATTAATGGTTTATGGAAAATGAGGTATGCCACTTGAATGTTTTATAGGTGACATGGTGTATACATAGCAGTAGGTAGTGTTCTGTGATTTATTGAATATAGTTTTGGTGTCAGATTAGTATCTACTAAACTTGAATAGAATAAGAATTTGTTTTTTTAATGTAGTCGCTGAAAATTTTTAATCATCAGTTTAACTTTAATTTTAAGATGGTCTTCCTGAGTTTGCTGTCTTTGGCCAATTCCATATGCCTTGTGTTCTCCATCATGCTGCCTTGAAGTTGCAAGAGGGTTCGTGTGGGGTTCCCTCACCGCCTTGTACAGTTGTACTCCTGTTAGGAAGCCTCGTGCCATCTAATATGTCTCAGTCACAGGACCGGCGTGTGGAAACCTGACTCAGGCAACTTACCCCAGCCCCTGCCATGTCTGTGTATCTCTGAAAGGGGGCGCCAGAGTCCTCCTTTCTTTAAAAGCTGGGAATGGGAACTAATTTGCAAGTGATTTAGAAATTAAACATCAAATTCTCTTTTAAAAAGTCTTTTCAGTCTTATTTTGGGACTTGCTTATGTTTGATCTCATAGGAGGGTAAATTACAGTTTAGGAAGACCCTGCTTTCCAGACGAATTTCTGTGCTGTGTGTTAGGTTGCATATGTGTTAGGTTGTGTGTGTGTGTGTGTGTGTGTGTGTGTGTGTGTGTGCATGTGTGTAGGTTTAAGGGAAAGCAGAAATACAGTGTAATAGGAGCGCTTGTCTCGTGTGTGTGTGTGTGTGTGTGTGTGTGTGTATGTATGTGTGTGTGTGCTGTGTTTATTTGCCCTGTATCTTTCAGCTCTTGAGATTTATAAAGCAAAGTAACAGTTCCCAAAACTCTGCTCTGAGGACAGGAAGAGGTCCACAGGCCAGGCGGACACTTGTCCTCAGCCTGCAGGAATAGCCTACGATTCCCACTGGTAGAAATTTGGTCTGCAGCAGTGTTCTTAAGCAAAAAACAAGTGGTTTTTTTTTTTTTTTTTAAGTGAAAAAAGAATAGTTGTACTAGGGAAGTGATTTTCTTAGAGCACCAAATGAAATGCAGCAGTAGGAAATAGGTGTGCCTAAAAAAGTGATAGTAACAATAATAATGTTTTGCTGTGAAGCTACCAAAGACAGGATGGCACAAAAGGAAAAAAATGACCACTAAGTTGTGAGGAAAGCTTGGCTTTATTTTTTAACATGAGTTTATTACAGCTTTGCCTGAGTTGTTAGCTTTTAGGTTCGTCCTCACCCTTCCCTCGGCCTTTTGAAAATGGTGATTTGCCGTTTCCCCTTGGGCTGTTCACAGAGGGGGGGAAAGGTGCTCTGTGGGAGTATCTTTAGGTGGGAGCCCCGCCCTTGCATTTGCCACGTTCTCATCTCTTCCTGACAGCTGTCCTTTGTTGTACATGTGATGCCAGCCTGCTTGATGCTGGTCCATGCCAGACTGGGCCTCTCCTGTGTCTTGGAACTCCCCAGTGCCTCTTTCCCCTGTACCCTGACGCTGAGGAAAAGTGTATCTCAGAAAATGGGGGTCCAGGTGGGGTGGGCCTTGGGCCCCGTTCACACATATTCAAGGATGCCTTGGACTTGAGAGATTTGTTTGGATGAATTTGCTCCTGCATGCTGCTCGTGTTACCTGACTGCACAGGTTTTATGTCTTTTAAATTCTGTCTCTTTTCCAAAGGGCTTTTAATATTCCTTTGGATTCACATTTCAGCTTTTTAAAAAAATTATTATTATTGACAAAATAAGAAGCTATGGGGGCGGGGACGTGGTTGCCTTTTGCTTCTCAAAGCCTAAATGAATAGTCATCGCTTGTAATGGTGGCCTGCGCTCGGCGCTCCCCACTGCTTTAGCTGTGATGCAGCCGATGCTGGGAAGGTAATGAGCCTGAGCCGCAGCAATATTCCGAAACAGCAGTATCTGTCATGTTCATCGGGATTACCATGTTCATTGATTTGTGTCTGTAAATCTGCTGTTTCTACCCTTTAAATTTGATCTATAATTGGACCTCCCTAAATGGTTCGAGTAAGGTAGTCTGTATTTTCTCAATGCAGTGTTGCTGTCAGCTTCTCCTTTTTCATTATACATTCAGCAGACTTGATAAAATCAGCAGGACACCTCATTTGAAACTGTTTAATCGCTGCCTTTTTCCTTTGCTAAACCATTGAGGTGGTCAAGCGGTGTGTACAAATCATGTTAAATAGAAAATATGGTTTTCTCTGTGACCCAGCTAAATAGATAGTGTTATGCAAAACAAGTTAAAAAGTAATAAATGCCAGAAAAATCTTCTAATTGGAGTAAAAAATTGTGGCCAACTCTATCCTCTCTCTGAAAGTCGTGTAATCTGAAATATTACCAGAGCTCTGTAAAGACAAGATGATGATTTTCTAAACATTCCCTGGTTTCCACACAAAGCAAGTTCACATTTTCAAAGAGTGCTGAGCTGCCTTCTGCTGGCATTCAAGGGGAGCCCATACTTACTTGTAATGCCTTTGTAATCCTACTTTTGTAGGGATAAATTTGCTGTCTGTTAATTTCTGTGCACCGTAACCTTTTAGCCATTTGCCATTGTGATAATAAATTTTTGTTGCTTTGTCTGTCATTTTGTCTACTCAGCTGTTACTCTTCAAAGTACAGACTAAAAATAATAGCTCCAAATAAATGCCATATAGTAAAGTGGTTTACAGTTGTATCTGGAATAATCTGGTGGCTGCGGCGGCTCGCAGTCCTATTACCATTGCTAGTGCGGGAGTTTCTTCCTGAGTGTCAAGGTGACTCCACTAGGCCTCCTCATTAAAACAATGTATTCTTTCTAACTGGCTTGGTATTTAGTGCTGTCCCCAGCAGCCCACCCAGGCCCAGTGTAGAGCGAGTGCTCACAACGCATGTATGAAAGAATGTGGCCTTCACTTTCTAAAACAACAGTAGCTCTCCACAATCTCATTTTCATGCTTCAGTGTTTTACTGTGAATAATTTACGACTATACCAGTCAGGAGTTGATGTAGGGCCAGTTGCAGTCTTACCCAAGGTGGTGGTAGGTGTGGCTTGAGGCTTTTGAAGCACCGATTTTACTTGGTTTATGCAGTGCTATAGGACACACTGAAATTGAATGTGACATTGCCCAGTCCCCCCTGCCACCCCCCAGCTTTTGCTGCCCCAAGGCAAACTGGAGATGGAGAAGCGGGGAGTTGGTAAACTACACTAAGGGTTCACCTTTTGTCTTACAGGTTCTGGCTCCTTGGCAGCAATGGCCGTATTTGAAGATAAGTTTAGGCCAGATATGGAGGTATGTAAATCCCTGCAATTGTGTGTCCAACTTTGGCACCTTGATTACTGGCTGCCCTGAAGCCAGGACAGACCCGCTGTATGCTTCTGTGTGTTGGCTCCCTTCCTGGAGCCCGAGGAGCCAGCCAGTCAGCTGCATCCTCTGGGCTCTGGCCTGCTGTCCTTCCAGGCGTGGGTGCTACTGCTGCTGCTGTGTGCAGTGTTTGGGCATGCCATGCTTTCTGTGTCACAGAATCTCATAATGACATTTTGTTCTGTTCTCTTACTGGGAGAAACTGTGTATGTCTTTTCTGTGTCATGCAGACCTGACCTGAAAATAAGGCCAGCATTTAAAATCTGCACAAGATGGGCCCAAAATTTGTATGTGCTAGAGTCCTCCCAGGGTATAGTGGATTTCGGTTATTTCCCATGGAAGAGAATTTGTCTTGTTAGGTGGTGGAAGAGGCAGTGTCTCCTGAATGACATTCCCTCTCAGTCTGCTTTCATGAAAGCTGTGGCCACAAGCAACAGCCTTCCTGCCCCCAGCATCTGCTAGCATAGGTCCCGGATGCTCCCTTACCTCGTCAGAGGGGTATTCCGCATGCTTGGATCTTCACAGCACCAAATCACTCCTCCACTGTGTGGCATCCTCACTGCTGAGCCTAGGTCTGCAGGCAGCTCATTTTTTGGATGGCATTTTCAGGCTTCTTTTCACCAGTGAGTGGACAGTTGGTGAGGAGTTTGGGTTTGCCCTGTTTCCTCGAAGTGGATTTCTGCTGTCTAACGTGTTGCAGTGTTCCTTTGTTGTGGTACCAGAGGACATCTCTGGGACTTTTTGGTAATGTTTTATATGTGAGCATAATTGAAGGAGATGCATGTGAAAAATGCTTTGTTTTTCCTTCAATCTCCTTCTCCTTGGAGCACAAGTGGTGTTGAAATTCTGAGGTGCTCTCTGTCCCTTAGCTGTGGGCCTAGAGCTGTGAAAGCTGGAACTCAGGATATGAGTGCTGGTCTGCCAGCACTGACTTTTCTCACATAAGCTACTGTGCTTTTTGTACTTGAAGAAAACAAAAATAAGTGATTTGGTTATTGGGCTAGATTGCACCCTTTGTTGGACATCTGCAGGAACACAAACTATAGGATTTGGTAACCTTTACAGTAGAAGCTATGGTGTTGGAGATGGATGTGTAGCTTAGCAGTGAGGACACCAGTGTCCTGCAGTGGTGTGCCCGGGCCTCATTCCCGCTCCCCTTCTTCTGACGACAACTTGTTGCTAATGCAGACACTAGGACGCAGAGGTGATGGCTCCAGCAACTAGTTTGGTTGAGCTCCTGGCCCTGCTTTCTGTCTAGCCCCAGCTGTTGCAGGCATTCAGGGATGAGCTGGTCTCTGGAGCGCCCCTTCCCTTGTGCCTCTGTCTTTCTGCCTTTTATGATAGCTGTGAAATCCTTCATGTGGTCTGCTGGTTAGATTTTTCTCTAAGGTACATAAAAATGTGTGCACCTTGTGAAGACAAAGCATTCATGTGTGTGCCTGGGAGCTAACTGGGGAGCCAAGGTCCAGAGCATCCTTCCTGTGTGTTTGCTGAGTTCCAGTGTCTTCAGTGACTTCCCCAGGGCTCCATTGGACCTTGCTCTTCTGTGGTCTGATAGCTGTTTCCAGGTGGGGTATCTCCCCCACTTTGCCAGTGAGAGTCAGGGGCATACAGTCATTTCTGTCCTTTAGTGCCTGCTGCTCAGGATCTGTCTCAGACACAGTGTAACCCTGAACTAAAGCAAATCTAGCGATCATCGGCCATCTGGGCAATAGAGGGGCGCTTTGTTCTTCTCCCCTCTGGAGAGAGCTAGATTTTGTCATGAGATCGGGGAGGAAGATGACTTGTACACTTCTCCAACAGTGTGATATAGAAACAGAGCCAACAAGGCCGATTCCCTGATAAGTGTACAGGCAAAGGAGGTGGAGCACAGGGCATAATGTGTTTTGGGAAATTACTTGTCCAAAAAGCAGACCTGTGAAAGGCAGTTGGGATTTTGCCAGTTCAGGTTATCTGAGCCGGTATTTGCCTCAAGTGTGACATCTGGTACAGAATTTCGGAGACACTGCCAACTACACCTGTGAGTTTGAGGTGGAAGAAGAGCTTTGAAAAATTCCTACCAGTTATAGCCCAAATACTGCCTTGAGTGAGCTTGTGATTTTCATCTTGTTTTCCCCCTTGGGCTTCGCTTGGGAGTTCTAGCGCAGAGACTGTGGCTTCCTCGTTTCCCTTTCCAAACACCTAGCACAATAACCATCACAGAGCAGGCATTAATCTGGGACTTGTTGAGTGGGTGCATAAAGGGGTCAGAAGCAGCTTCACACAGAAGCTGTCAGAGTAACCCTTCTTTGAAAGAGTTTGATAACTTCACCTCCAGGGTTTGTAGTATTTATCTGGTTAGAAGTGAAGGCAAAGAAAATTGTATTACTTAGGGACAGGAAATCCCGGTTTATGTTTTCTCAGCAAAGGTGTTTATTGAGACATTGTACCAGCATATTAGTAGTGCAGTGGACTTTGAAATGGTTACCCAGTGACAAAGGGTCAGTTGTGTGATCTTTTCTGTTTTGGTGTGGTGACGGGGCTCATGGGGCTGTTTCCCTTGCTCCTCTGTTGTGGAGTTTGTTCCCCACAGGTTTGCTGAATGTGGAAACTAATGATAACCATGCTTGGGCCTTTGCCGTTTATTTTGCAGCTAAGCATAAAGGATTTGAACATAGAATCTGAAAGTAGTGTGCTAATTTGGTGGGGAAATGGCTCTGAAAATTGAAAGAAAGTGCAGATTTTATTTTAGGTTAGGGAAGAAATTAGGTAATTTGGATTCATTTTTCCATTCTGTTTCTTCATAAGAAAGGATATGTTGTTTGGCCCAACAAGAAATTTAAACTCTTGAAGATTACAATTCATTAAAATTGGTAGAAGATTAATATTTAGTCTGTCAAGATCAATACTGTCCCCTCTCTGCACTAATTGTCAGAATATCACGTGCGGGCCGCTGAAGGGTACTGGTGTGCAGCAGGACCGCACTTCACAGAGAGAAGATTCAAAGGCAAACTGTCCTGCACCCTCTGGTATCGACTTGCAAATTAGCATCTGGAATCTAATTAAACAAGCTTAATGAAAGTAGCAGCTGAATGCTGCTGGAAAAGACAATGAGCTTTTCCCCCCTTCTCTGATAGATACTCTGTACTATTGAAGTTGGTCACCAAACACGTTGTGTGAGCACAGTTAAAAAAATTAGCATTTATTTGAAGAATAGAAACTGTTTTTCATTCTGTTATGCATTTGGCATGCTCTGGCGTCCCATGAGAGCCATGCCACAGCAGATAGTGCACAATATTTATAAATCCATGACAGGCAATAATAGCAACTTGAAAAATTCTTTTGCTAGAATCTCAAGTTGAGAGCTGCCAAAAGCTGAGAGGATCAGATCTGCAGTGGCAGCTGCTGTGCCCTACAGTTAGAATTCTAGACTTTGAAGACGCTCAACTTAAAGAAATGAAGACTGCAGGCTTAGCCAATTTTTGCAGGTTTCTAGAGCTCTGGCTCTCTGCCTTTTGAAGCTGAGTTACTGAAGCTCCTGCCGCTGCCTGAGGCAGGCTAGCACCACCAGGGTCCTTTCCTCCAGTCTTAGTGTGTCTCCACATGCTTAGTCAGTGCCAGCTGTGATGGCCCTTGCTCTGGTTGCAACACCGAGGGGTGAGCTCTTACCCTGCACCCTTCAGAGTGAAGCCACAAAGATAGATGGTGACATATACAAGTGCCACTTGAGCCATATGATTTATGAAGTCATATTTCATCCCCCGGCGAGTGCTGGCCTCTGGAGAAGCCCTTATAGATTGCTCAAGATGTGAGCCGCCGTCGCCCTAAAGGCTTGTGCCTCCCTCACAGACCTGATGCCAAACACCTAGCTGCCGAGGAAACAGAATTAATCTGTCATTGCAGGCAGCTGTAGATCCGCTTTAACTAATGAAGGAGTTGATACCAATGGGGTGTTCTGAGAGCAAAGCTTAGAGTAACTGTGTTTTTAAGTCAAGTCATAGAAATTCTGAGGCTGATGTTGCAGCCTCATTTGTGCTTGCAGATGGACAGTAGTGTGAGAGAACTTCATTATTTTGATTAAAAAAAAATCTGTTCAGCTTACAGATCGCATAGCACCAAAACAGAGCATGCCACCTGAGTTCAGAAGGGTCAGCTGGAGGGGGCAGGGGCCTCAGGAGCTTCGGCACTGCCAGTCTGTTTCTACTGTCTTCACCACAGGATGCTGGGCCCCAGGGGGGCTCCTCTGACCTACTCCCAACAAAGTGCTGGGAGGTACCTTCCATGGTGGTTCAAACAAAATCAACTGTAAAATATGGAAGCTGATTTTATTTTATTAAAGATTTTTTTTTTAATTATTCAACAGAAACATCACATAGTGATGACAATTGCAGCTATTTGCTCTACTGTCAGGCTTGATAACTCATAGCATGGAACAGATAGACAGGGTCTTTCTTTCCTCTCTCAGAGATGGGCCTCTGTCATGGTCATGCAGACAGACAACATAGCTGCTTCACGCTGAACACAGCGAGTACTCGCCCTTTTACTCCAGGGATGATGTGGAAACACGGTGGTCAGCAGTGGTTGGGGCTTAGGTCATGCCGTCCTCTGCTCTCAGCTTTTTGGGCTGTTTCTCAAATGGAGGTATCAGGAGATCAGTTACCTTGCCTGAGGTCAGCACAGCTGGTCAGTGAAGGAGTCTGAATCTGAACCCCGCTCAGGCTGATTTGAGGTGAACTCACTCACCCCCTGTTGCGCCTCTTCTGTGGGCCCAGAGCTCTCTGACATCTTTATCCAGGTGAGTGGAGGTGTGAATTGCTCCGGCTGTCCCCGTTCTCAGATGAGGGCTTATGACAGCGTGGAAAGCTGAACGCCAGTGTCGGAGGAGGTGGGTAGACCTCTGGTGAGCTCGGTGATTGGAAGGCACCCGTGAGCACGGGGTGTGAGGCTGG